GAACCCGGGAGCGGAGCTTGCAGTGAGCTGAGATCCGGCCACTGCACTCCAGCCTGGGCAACAGAGCGAGACTCCGTCTCAAAAAAAAAAAAAAAAAAAAATGAATTTAGCTGGGCGCGATGCTCACGCCTGTAATCCAGAACTTTGGGTGCCAAGGCGGGGCAGATCACGAGTCAGGAGATGGAGACCATCCTGGCTAACCGGTGAAACCCTGTCTCTACTAAAAAAATACAAAAAAATTAGCCAAGCGTGGTGGCGGGTGCTGTAGTCCAGCTACTTAGGAGGCTGAGGCAAGAGAATGGCGTTAACCTGGGAGCGGGAGCTTGCAGTGAACCGAGATTGTGCCACTGCACTCCAGCCTGGGTGACAGAGCCAGATTCCGTCTCAAAAAAAAAAAAAAAAAAAAAGTTTGGAGAAGTTTGGCTGGGCACGGTGGCTCACACCTGTAATCCCAGCACTTTTGGAGGCCAAGGCAGGCAGATCCACTTGAGGTCAGGGTTCAAGACCAGCCTGGCCAATGTGGTGAAGCCCTGTTTCTACTAAAAAATACAAAAATTGGCCAGGTGTGGGGTGGCTCATGCCTGTAATCCTAGCACTTTGGGAGGCCAAGGCAGATGGATGTGCCTGAGCTCAGGAGTTCAAGACCAGCTTGAGCAACACACAGTGAAATCCCATCTCTACTAAAATAAAAAAAATTAAGCTGGGCATGGCAGCATGTGCCTGTAGTCCCAGCTACTCGGGGAAGGTGAGGTAGGAGAATTGCTTGCGAAACCCGGGAGGTGGAGGTTCACAGTGGAGTGAGATCTACCACCTTCACTCCCAGCCTGGGCACACAGAACAAGACTTCTATCTTCCAGAAAAAAAAAAGAAAAAAGAATTAAGCCTGGACTGTGGCAAGCTGGGCGGCCAGCAGAGAATGGCTGAACCTGGGAGGCTGAGGCAGAAAAAAAAAAAAAAGCTCTTAAAACAATGAGACACCACTACACACCTATTTGAATGGCTAAAATCCAAAATTTGATACCACCAAATGCTGACGAGGATATGGAGCAACAGGAACTCTCATTCATTGCTGGTGGGAATGAAAAATGAAACAGTCACTTTGAAAGACTGACGATTTCTTTTTATTTGATTTGATTTTGAATTTTTTAGAGACAGGGTCTTGCTATGTTGTCCAAGCTGGTCTTGAACTCCTGACCTCAAGTGATCCTCCTGCCTTCGCCTCCTGAGTAGCTGGGATTACAGGTACAAGCCTCTGCACCTGGCTTTTATTTATTTTCAGTCTGTTGCAAAACAAAACATACCCTTAACATATAATCCAGCAATCCCACTCTTTAGTGTATAGTGAAAGGAGCACACAAAAATCTACACATGGATGTTTATAGAAGCTTTCCTCATAATTCCAAAACTTGCAAGCAACCAAAATGTCCTTCCATTGATGAATAGATAACTAAACTGTGGTACTTCCAGACAATGGAACATGATTCAGCAGTAAAAAGAAATGAGTGACTAGGCCAGAAAAAGATATGAGGGAATTTTAAATGCATATTACTAAGTGAAAGAAACAAATCTGAAAAAGCTACTTACTGTCTTAGTCCGTTTTATGCTGCTATAACAGAATACCACAGACTGGGTAATTTACAATGAACACAAATGTATTGGCTCACAGTTCTGGAGGTTGAGAAGTCTAACATCATGGTGCTGGCATTGTTCAAGGGTCTTCTTGCTGCATCACCCCATGGGAGAAGGGCAAAGAGAGGGTGAGAGGGAGAGCAAAAGATAGATCTTGTAGCCCTTTATAGTCAGCATTAATCCATTAATGAGGGTGAGGCCCTCATGACCTAAACACTTCCCATGAGACCCCATCTTTTAACATTGTTGCATTGGGGATTAAGTTTCCAACACATGTGTTTTGGGGGACCCATTCAAATCGTAGTAGCTACATACTGTAAGATTCCAAATACATGACATCCTGGAAAAGGCAAAACTGTGAAGATAGTAAAAAGATCAGTGGTTGCCAGGAGTTAAGGGGGAGAGAGGAATAAACAGATGGAGCACAGGGGCCTTTTTTTTTTTTTTTTTGAGACGGAGTTTAACTCTGTTGTCCAGGCTGGAGTGCAGTGGTGTAATCTTGGCTCAATACAGCCTCCACCTTCCAGGTTCAAGCAATTCTCACAGACTCAGCCTCCCGAGTAGCTAGGATTACAGGCGCCTGCCATCACGCCTGGCTAGTTTTGTACTTTTAGTAGAGACAGGGTTTCGCCACGTTGACCAGACTGGTCTCAAACTCCTGACCTTAGGTGATCCACCTGCCTCGGCCTCCCAAAGTGCTGGGGTTACAGGTGTGAGCCACCGCGCCCAGCCCGCCCAGGGGACTTCTAAGGCGGTGAGAATACTCTATGTGGTGCTCTAATGGTGGAACCATGACATTACACTGTAGGGGCAGCAAAGTTCTACCTCCATTCTCTTAGGGTCCTGGCTGGGCCTGAGAAATAAATTGAAATAAGACAGATTAACAGGAGAAAAGCATACAAACTTATTTAATACAAGTTTTATGTGGCATGGGATCCCTTTTAAGGAGATGAAGACCTAAAGAAAAAGTTAAGAGTCAAACACTTATATACTGAATGGGACAAAGAGTAGTAAGCTGTGAGAAATCAACCACATTATGTGGGGAGACTTTACAAATGTGTGTGTTATTCTACCAAAGCCTACACAGCATTCTCTCAACTTCTCATCCTGTGTCCCGGTGTATAACATAGGTTCATCGGTTGTGACAATCGTACCACTCTAATGGCGTTGATAGTGGAGGAGGCTCTGTGTGTCTGTGTGTGTGTGTATGTGTGTGTGTGTGTGTGTATGGAGGGGCAGGGGGTATATAGGAAATCCCTGTACCTTTTGCTGAATACAGCTTGAACCTAATGCTGCTCTAAAAAATAAAACCTTTTTTAAGGCTTACTTTTCCCTGTTGAAAATAAGGGACGAGGCTTCCCTTTCCTCCCTTTTCTTGCAGAATTTCCTTCTCCGTCATTTTCAAATGTGTGTAAATCTTTTTTTTTTTTTTTTTTTTGAGACGGAGTCTCGCTCTGTCGCCCAGGCTGGAGTGCAGTGGCGTGATCTCGGCTCACTGCAAGCTCCGCCTCCGGGTTCATGCCATTCTCCTGCCTCAGCCTCCCGAGTAGCTGGGACTACAGGCGCCCGCCACCACGCCTGGCTAATTTTTTTGTATTTTTTTTTTTTAGTAGAGACGGGGTCTCACCGTGTTAGCCAGGATGGTCTCGATCTCCTGACCTCATGATCCACCCGTCTCGGCCTCCCAAAGTGCTGGGATTACAGGCTTGAGCCACCGCGCCCGGCCTGTGTGTAAATCTTTTTAATGGCTACACAAGCCAGTTGCCAGTCTAATATCTCAGTCGTGCTTCCTCTGGGAGCCAGGACCACCTCTTTGAGTCTTGACATCAAGCAGTAAATGCCGCCACCCTCCCCGTTTCCTGAGAAGCCTGACTTCAGCTGTCACCTGCCTCCAAATCGCAAAACCCACCTCCAGTCATAGCGATAGAGAAAATCAGCAATTTTGTCCTGAAAACATGAATGCAATGGGTTGTGTCTGCTTGGCTGCAGAAGGGTGAGATCTCTCTCCATCTTTGCAATCTCTCAGGGGGAGAGATCCTGATGCAGCTCACATTCCAGTTTAAAGTTTATTCAGTAATAAAATTGTTTTCTTTTTCTACTACCTTCGTGGAGAAGTTTTCTGGGTTGGCAGGAGATTTTGTTTTTAATTTTATGTCCCCACCAGGGCCCACGTCCAGAGACAAACATTGGAATGTGTGGCTTGGCAAGTAAGGTCGCCAGTGGAGGCAGCCTGCTGGGCGGCGTCCCTGGGGAAGACTGTCCCCGGGTTCAAGGGTGACATGCAAGTTCTGGTTCATGCCCTGTCTACTTTTGAAAACCTCCCACAGCAGAGGCACGGTCACCCCTCTGCCGCAAGAATCACATAACCTCCTCTTCCTGGGCCTCAGTGTCTCATTTGTGAAATGATCATAAAAATATACTCTACTATTTGAGGGAAGAGCAGCCCAAACTGTTCCCCAAAGCTCCTCCCTTCTCTCCGGCAGAACCCGCTGTGGAGCACCTACCCCCCGCCCCCGCCCCGCTCCTTTGATCTCACAGCCCTGTCCCCCACACCCCCAGCCATCTGAGTCATGGGTCCTGTGTTCCCAGCTCATCTCCCCAGCCGTCTGGGGCTACACATCCTGTGGGCTCCGTTCGCTCTGCTCACGCCACAATCTCTGAGCCTCTGCTTTCTGCCAAGTGCTTCGTCCAGGGCTCTGGGGAACTCTCCCTCCGCGATGAGACTCCTTTGTGCAGTAAACTGATCCTGGGCGTCCAGGGTGCTACGGTTGGTGCAGCAGAGAGGCAAGGGGCAGAGCACTGTGCCCTCAGCTCAGGGCAGCGCGGGTCACCTGGGCACCCTAGGCAGGATCTTCAAGGAGAGAGGGACCCAGGGAGGGAGAGTGCCAAGGAGGGAGGCAGGCAGGAAGAGAGCGGGAGGAGAGGCAGGCCTGACCTGGCCTGGCATTTTGGGAAAAGGGGGAGGGCGTGCATCAGGGGCTGGGTGAGTAGAAGCAGGAGGTCTAAGGTGGGGACCTGGGAGCTCAGACGAGAGCAGCCGGGGGAGGGGCGGTCAAGCGCTGTCTGTCTGTCCGGGAAGCTTGGGTTGCATCCTCCCGGAGACAAGTTGGCACCAAGGTGAGACTGCGTGCAGCCAGGTGAGAAAGGGGAGTGGACTGGGAAGCTCGGAACAGGTCTTGGGAGGGAGGGAGATGGGCCTGAGGGCCGAGGGGCAGCGCCGGGGAAGAAAGGGCTGGAGAGACACCCCCACTCCTCCCTTCACCACTCCAAGGCAGGACAGGGGCGGCCGCGGGCTGGGCGGGAGGGCTCAGGGAGGAAGGAGGCTTGGGAGCTAAACGTGGAGAGCACACGGAGACCCCGGGCAGGGCGGGCTGCATTCGCGGTGGCACAGGGTGGCCGCGGCGGGTCTCAGCAGCCTGGTGGCCCCTCGGGCTTAGCACGCCCGACAGCACTAACGCGCCGGGGCCGGCCCAGCAAATCTTTTGTCCGGGGCGGCGCTGAGCCAGCAGGGAGCTGCCCGGTATAAACCGGGACCCGCGGATGGGGCGGGGCGCACCATGGCGCAGCGCTCGGGAAAGGTGAGTGAGTCCCTTAACCCCAAGGAAACCGGGCAGGGCCCCACCTTCGCCCCCTGTGCGAGGGGATTCAGGAGGGTGCACACTGTTGCTGGATGACAAACCCAAGGGAAGCTGGTTTAATTTCTTAATAAAACGGGGTCGACCTGGGGCCTCTCTAGTGTGGGTGGATAGGAAGGTCTCCATCTCCACTCCTTCCTTCTGGGGTTCCAACCCCTGGCCTCGCAGTCAGGAGCAGGGAGGGTGGTCAGACTCCCTGGGGCTTCCTCGGGGTGGGGGAGGCTTGGCTTGTCCCACAGCCCTCGGCCCCACTGCTGCAGCCTCTTTGCCCAAGGCTGGTCTGTGTGGCTTGTCCTTCCTCAGAGTCTCTTCAGGGACACTCAGGGCTGGTTCTCTGAAAAATGTTGAGATTTGAGGGAGCCCCGAATCCCTTTGGTGCCCAGGTCTCCCCAAAAGCCTCAGGGGCCCTCTACCAGCCCTGCCTGGTGCAGGAAGGATGGGAGACGTGGCTCTCCCTCCCTCTCTCCAGTGCCCCTAGCCTAGCCACTCCCATGAAGCCTCTGGTCTCCAGGGCCACATTCCAGAGTGTCTGGGGGTGACTGTGTTGCTGTATCAGTCCGCATGGGCCAGGTGATGCTTCAGTAACCAAGGCCCCAGTAACTCTGGGGTGCAGAACACCAGGGTGTCCGCCTCCTTTCTGGTGAAAGCATGTGGCCACGCCTGACTCCAAGGGGCCTGGAAGGATTTCCTCACGTTTTTTTGAGCAACTGGATGACACTGGTGAGCGCAAACGGCCATAGTGATGGGGAGCATCACGCGGCTCTGACAGGCCTGTGTTGGTGATGAGGCTGCAGTTTCGGTTGTGCAAACGACATCTATAGTTATGGGGAATGTCGTCGGACGTCCTTTGTCACGCGGTGCAACGCAGGAAAGGCAGCTTTGGTGGGGTTGTTATTGCTTCCCATGGGTAGTTTTGTATCGGTGGAGCCAGGACATACCTGTGAGGGGCACGAGTACAGGGGGATCATGGGTCCTCGCAGCTGACCACGCATGAGGAAGGCAGAAGCATCTATACCTGTTCTTGCTGCGCCAAAAGGAGTGGTCTTTACAACACAGTGAGAAGGCATTTAGGGCTGTGGATCTGTAGTAAGGCCTCTTTTGAGAAACATAAATCCTGGAGGCAGGCCCTGAGGGCGCTTCGGCCGATTCAGGCCGTCTCGCAGTGAGATAGGTAAGGGCTCTCTTGCCAAATCAGGAACCTTGTTTCATGTCTTATTAAAATATCATATATTGTCGCTCTACCACGCGAGAGGTCTGGGGTGCAGTTTTTCTTTGAAGGAATCACTCCTCTCCATTTAATCGGGTATGATCCGGTTTGTATGTTTCTAAGAATTAAAAAATGAGTCTTGGCGCCGCAGGCCTTTTGTTTCGCAGGTTGGCTCTAAGTTCCCATAGATAATACCAAGCACTTTGGGAGGCCGAAACTGGCGCGGACACGAGTCAGGAAGATCGAACAAACATCATGGCCGACACGGTGGAAACCCGGTCTCTAATAAAAAATACAGAAAATAGGGGAACAGGCGCGAAGGTGGCGGGCGGCTGTTAGTCCGTTGTCCTATGTGATGGGAGGTCTGAGCAGGATGAATGGCGTAAGAACCCGGGAGCGAGAGCTTGCAGTGAGGCGAGATTCCGGCCACTGCACTCCAGCCTGGGCGACAGACTGAGACTCCGTCTCAAACAAAACAAAAAAAGAGTTAAAAATGCGTGGCTATAAGATTGACAAGAGGCAAATATTTGAAATGGAACACCTGAGGAGCAGAAGGGGAAGGCCCTGTCCCCAAGACCGCTGTTGAAATTTGTCTGCTCCACTGTGAGCTCCTGAGAAGGGTAGGAATAAGAACGATAGGATGCTCTTGTGCCTATGGCGCATCAGTCTGCCAGCTATTCATGCTTTTGCCCAATTGGCAAATAATGTTACTGTGTGCAGCAGGAGTGGGCTTTGGCGGGCCTGGGAGTAGGGGTTCCGTCAAGGGTGCTGGGACCCAGACGCCAGCCTCCAACCCTGAAGGAGAGAAGCCCCTGACCCTCAGCTCTGTAACCTGCCCTTTCTAGATCACTCTCTATGAGGGCAAGCACTTCACGGGGAGAAAGCTGGAGGTCTTTGGGGACTGTGACAACTTCCAGGACCGGGGCTTTATGAACCGAGTGAACTCCATCCGCGTGGAGAGCGGAGCCTGGGTCTGCTTCGATCACCCTGACTTCCGGGGCCAGCAGTTCATCTTGGAGCACGGCGACTACCCCGACTTCTTCCGCTGGAACAGCCACAGTGACCACATGGGCTCCTGTCGGCCTGTAGGAATGGTGAGTGGGCCTGTCCACCGAGGGTTGAGTCTTCCTGCCGGAGAGACCGAGGGTCAGCCCTGGCAGACAGTGGCAAGGAATTGGGGAGCGTGGGCCTCCCAGCTTTAAAGTCTGTAAGACTGAGGAAGCTATACCCAGAGCCACCTGTGGCATGAGGTGAGTAGGTGGGGGGCCGAGTTGCTGGGAACCGAGCGGGAGTGGCCCTGAGTTTTCATACAGGTATCAGGAAACCACTTTAAGTTTTGGATCCAAAAATCGAGCTGCATTGTCCATTTAAAATGCTGTTGAAATCGTCCAAATTTAGATTTCCAGCCAGATAAGGGACACTCAGCCAACGGGAGGCTGATTTGGGCCTAGTGTGGCCACTGGTGCAGGTGGTCTTGTAGCACATTCTGGAGCCTTCCATGCTGCGGCCTTGGAGTGGCTGATGGAGGAAGCTGAAGAATCACCCGCCAGTCAGGGGAAAATTGGGGGGCAGGTCCCTTGGAATTGCACAGGTAGCTGCCACCCAAGAGGTGTATGCAGGGAGGGCAGACGAGGGGCATGGCTCCCCCATGGCGGAGGACTGTTTCTGTCCAGCTGCTCCTAGGGTGGGATTTAAGCAAGGCCGTTCTCCCAGGTCATGAGTACTCGCTGACCTGCCGTGAGCTCTGGGAGCTTCAGGTGGAGGATTCCTGAGCCTGGGGGCATGCATGTCTCACCACAGACAGTCTGGGCTTATGTCTGCCGAGGACCCTCCCCTGATGCCTGGGCCGGGCGGTTCTGGTGAACGTCTGAGGAACCCCAGGGAAGGGGCCTCTGTGTGGGGCCCCCTCTCTTTTCTGTATCAGTTGCAAAATCAGCTGGGCTTTGGCATCTCAAATTGTAAGAATGCTTTCTTAGTATTTCTTCCAGGCTGTGGTACAATTGGCAAAAAAGAAATTTAAATGGTTGGCCCTGGACCCTGCATAATGCTATTTATATGAAAAATATCCTTGGTATCTTGAGAACTGCTGTTCTCCTAAGAGCTATCCTGGGGCCAGCTGTGACGCAGACCAGGCCCTGCCGGCTTCTGAGCCAGGCAGGGGCTGGCCCTCCTCTGTCTTTTGGAAATGCGGGAATCATATAGGGAGACGTGCTGAGCCTAGGGGACGATGATGTCAAGGCCAGCAGGAGTTTCAGCACACGAGATCTGGTATTTGTTTTAGATTTTTGGCTTTATGTTTTACTAAAAGGTTCTATTACAGTTTTAAAACGTTATCATTTGAAGGCTTGCCTGTGGGCTGCGGCCCCCGAGTGAAGTCAGAAACGGGAGTGTGTTGGTGTGACCAGGGCAGGAGTCCCCCAGGCTGAGCACCCAGAGGGAGCCCCGAGACCCCAGCCCTGGTCTGAGCCTGAGCGCTGGCCTCTGGTCAGTTTGGCTGTCTTTGGACCTCAGATTTTCTAGTTGTAGAAAGAGGTGCTTAGACCAGCTCAGTGGCTTGAAACAGTTTTAGAGTAATAGAACCCTTTCTTCCAACCACATCTCATGTGGAAGAACAAACAGAAGTGCGGGACTGAAGTATGTGGGGTGGGGGTGCCCAGTGCCCTGGGTGCCTCCTAATTCCTTCCTGCCCGGGGCTTCTGTTTCTGGGAGAGGGGAATTCACAGTAGCCTCCTTCTTTCCTTCTTTTTCGCTTGGTCTTGGAGCACGGGGAACATTTCCGCCTGGAAATCTTCGAGGGTTGCAACTTCACGGGCCAGTGCCTGGAGTTCCTGGAGGACTGCCCCTTCCTGCAGAGTGGGGGCTGGGCCAAGAACTGCATCAACGCCATCAAGGTGTACGGGGACGGAGCGTGAGTACAGGCCAGCCACGTGGCCGCACCCCGAAGCCCAGCTAGGCCCTTCAGCACCAGGCGTGGGAGGCTGCCCGCCATGCAGGGCTGGTGGGTGAGGTGGGAATGATGACCTGCAGCAGGGGGCAGCGTGTCCCTGGCCCCACAGGCCTCTCTTTTCCTCAGCTGCCTCACCTGCCCCAGTCAAGCAGCAGGGAGCTTTCCCTATGGCCCAGAAGGGCCTCAGAGAGGGACCCTGGGCCCCAGAGGCATCCTGAGACCTTCCCTGTAGGGCATCGGTTCAGGAACAGAGGTAGGAGAGGGCCTTGAAAGCTGCACAGTTCTCTGCGATTGATCTGATGCAAGAGACCGCCTTTGGTTTTCTTGAGCCGGGGGACACGTGCTGACCAAAGGATCCCCCAGGGCCTTATGGGCTGGAAAGCCACAGTGGGCTCACCTGCTCGGAGAAGGGTGGACCAGCCCACCCTGCCCAGCGCCTACGCAGCAAAGCTGACCCCTGAACCGGGCCTCTCTGCAAACCCCCAGCACCCTGGCCTCTGGGGGAAGACGGACTTCAGGGTGGCTCACTTCTGGACAGAGAGTAGCTGGGGGGATTTTGCCCAGGCCCAGACGGGTTTGTCTGCCCCACACTTGGGTTTCCTCCTGGTCAACCAAGGGCAGCCTTCGTGCCCCCTCCTGCCCTCCCGCATACTCCCCTTTTGCAACTACCCTCTGAGCACCTTCAAGTTGGCCATCTATTTTCATTGTCCAGCCCACACCTCTGCGTCAGGTAGATATTATTGCCCCCGTTCTACAAAGGGCAAGCTGAGACTCAGAAGGCTGACGGCCCAGCCGTCCCATGGGAGTGGCACAGCTGAGACTACAGCCAAGCCTGTGTCTGTCCCTGTTCCAGAGCTGGCCGCTTTCCCAGGCCTCAGTTCCCTCCCCTCAGGCCAAGAGCCCCTCACACAGGTTCCAGCTGGCTGTGCATGGCTCTGGCTCCTATCAAAGCCATTGAAGAACAATTTGCCTTCTATACTCCAGAGGTTCAAGGCCAGGGCGCTCTGGAGAGGATGCAGGGGGCAGAGGGACTGCAGGGAGACAGAGACTGAGCCAAGGCAGAGCTGGGCACAGGTGGCACCCCATGTCCGTGGGCTCCAACCGCACAGTGAAACTATCCCCCCACAATCGTGTCTATGCTGAATATGTACATTATTCCCTGAAAGATACCGTACAGCTATTTACATAGCATTTACGTTGGATTCGGTATCATAAGTAATCTGGAGATGATTTCAAGTCCAGTAAGTCCTCACTTCACATTGGGGATAGGTTCTTGGAGACTGTGACTTGAAGTGAAACGATGTATGGCAGGTCCTCGAATATGTTGTCTTGTTCAATGTGGGTTCATTATAAGATTGATGAGGGGAGAAATGGCTTTGTTATGTATCGCGTGCTGAAAGCCGCGGTTCCCAAATACCTACCGATGGGGTTAAGCGAGGACTTACTATATATGGGGGGATACGCGTGGGTTATATGCAAATACAATGCCATTTTATATCTGGAACTTGAGCATCCTTGGATTTTGACATCCAAGGGAAGTCCTGGAACCAGTTCCCAGGGATAGGAGGGACTGTGTACATCCCACCTTTCCCTGGTGGCCTGATAGTGGCAGAAATCTGCTGTTTCTGTCACTCTAGCTAGCTCCAGGATTCCATTTTACGAAATTGCATTTTGCCCTAAATTGGTGGCACCTGGAGCCCAGGGGTGGCATTCCAAAACAAGAATTTGCCCTGGAAAACTTGCTGGCTAAATTGTGTCTTGTAAGGCCCAAGTCACACCTTTGCATGGAGGATGTCCTGAGGCCAGAGACACAATCCCCCCGCCCACCCCAGCACTCAGGCACTCCGGGGCTTGTTGAGAAGGAAGGTGGAGAAGGTGGAGATGAACATTTCTCTGACTGAGGGGCACACAGTCCGTCTCCTTCAGTCCCCACTGTCCCTGCGAGGAGCCAGCCGTCAGTCCCCCAGGTGGGGGCCCAGGTGCTCAGCCTTTGCCACCTAAGACTCTAACTCTTACACAAATGTAAGCCCTTGTCAAGGAGGTAACGCCCCCGGGTCCCCTGGATCTGGAGGGGACACTGCTAGGAGGCCTTTCCTGGGGTCTGGGGAGTGGGAGAGGCAGGGCCCCTCCACCACCTCCCACTGCCAAGACTCCTTCCCTCTGGGTCCCACATCAGCCCAGGCATGACCCGTCCCCTCAGATCCATGTCCTGGTGGGCTTTCGGAGGAAAATGTGCTGGCGTTCTGCCCCCAACCACCCCCACCTGGGGAAGGGCACGGTGCTCATGTGGGCAGGACAGGCCCCTGCCCCTTCCCCTTTCTGCCTCCTCCCAGTAGCCACAGCCAGGACAGGGGACAGGAGGATGGGCGGTTCCCTGCCCCCTCCTTTTGGAGGTGTCCATGTGAGCACCCTCATGTGGCCCAGGACATGGCTTAGGGTATTTCTTGCCCACCACAGGGTAGGAAAGGACCAGCTGACTCCCTGAGGTGCCTCTGAGGCCCCAGCTACGGCATAGGTGTGGGGTCAGAAAGCTCTAGGTGTGGAGGAGCATGGACGCGGGGGGCCATGAGGGTGGGGTCCAGGCTGGACCAGGCCTGCCCTGAGTCCCCCAGCAGGTGCTCCAGGCTGGCTCACACCCTCTGCCTCTCTCTCTTCCTTCCTGGCGCCAACCCTCGAGGCAGCAGACTGTGCCAGGCACCAAGTGTGACAAGCCTCGCTCGTCTCAGAGGTGGTGAGGGAAGGACAGGGTCGGGCCAGCCCCTGCTCCGAGCTGTCCTGAGGTGTCTTCCTTGTATCACATGCCCCTTGCCAGGCAGAGGCCACTCCCCTGGACCTCCAGTCCCTTCCTCCTGGTCCCCCATTCCCTCCCCACCGCACCTTCCTGCTTTTCTGGGCCGGGCCCACAGCTTCCTGGGTGACGAAGGGCTGTGTTCTCTCCTGCCCCCACCAGCCCCAGGTCCTCCAGGCTCCGTAAAGACTTGTCCTGACTGTTTCTGCTCTCTGGATTGTTGGTGGCCGCCCCGGAGGTGTGCAGAAGGGGAGGAGGAGAGGAAGGGGCCCCACTTGGGACTCCCTGACCCTCCTCTGGGCCCTGCAGGCTCCTCTGTGCAACTGTACCCCCACAGCCCATTTCCTCTGCAGGGGAGGCCCCATGAGGGCAGGAGGGGGCAGGAACCATGTCATGTGACCATGGCACCTCTGGTACCTGACACGGTGTTGGGCACACATGTGGGAACCCACTGGCATTCACTGAATGAATGGTGCCCTCTGTGCCAGGCCCCCCCTCAGGTGCTGGGGGCACTGTCTGTGCAAGGTGGTCCTTATCAGGGAACAGGAGTGCGTGGGTGTGCAGTGATGGCGGGAGTGCATCCTTGCCAAGGACGGTTGAAATGCAGTGGCGCGATCTCGGCTCACTGCAATCTCCACCTCCCTGGTTCAAGCAATTCTCTTGCCTCAGTCTCCTGAGTAGCTGGGATTACAGGCATGCACCACCACGCCCAGCTAATTTTTGTATTTTTAGTAGACACAGGGTTTCACCACATTGGCCAGGCTGCTCTCGAACTCCTGACCACAAGAAATCTGCCTGCCTCGGCCTCCCAAAGTTCTGGGATTACAGGCATGAGCCACCACACCCGGCCAGGACTGGTCAGTTTTAAAATGTGGACGTTACTAGGCCTGTCCCCACACGTGTCACACCGCTGCACGGACCCCACACGGCACTGAGGAAGGAAATAAAAGCCAAGGTGGGCACCGTGGGTGCCTTTGTGTAGCCCAGAGTGAAGGGGCCGCTCGGCCGGGAGGGGTTGCTGGGTGGCCAGGCTGTGCAAGCTCTTCTGTCTGGAGTCCAGGGGGGCTTCCCGGCAGCCCCTGATTCCCACTCCCCTGGCCTCCAGGTGGGTCCTGTACGAGGAGCCCAACTACCGCGGCCGCATGTACGTGGTGGAGAGGGGCGACTTCCGCAGCTTCTCCGACTGGGAGGCCCACAGCGCGCGGGTGCAGTCGCTCCGCAGGGTGGTCAACTTCTTCTAGCCGAGCCCTCCCACCAGGATGGCCAGGCACAGCTCTGGGGACAGGGGCAGCCCCTTGCGGTCCCACCCAGACCTCGGGACCTTGGGCAATAAAAGTCCTCAAAGCCAACAGGCAGCTTCTGAGTGCTCTCTTGGCAATGGGCGTCCCAGCCCTGGGAGGAGCCAGACGATCCAGGGCGCTTTCCCAGACTCCCAGGGACCCCCTGGGCCAGAGAGGGGAGAGTAGTGGGGAGAGGTGATGAGAAGCGATGGGGGGAGGGAAGGGCCGGAACCCAGGCTGGTGCAGGGCTCCCCAGGCTCGCTTGGGGCTCTGCCTCTCTGTGACTCAGCAAGGTGAGGCTGCCAGGCCACGTGGCCAAAGGCCTGACCCCGGGTCTCTGTGTCTGATCTCTGGGTTTTCTCCTCATGGCTAATCTTGGCCTCGGAGTTTCGAAGGGAAGGATGTTCCCTCTGGAAGGTTGGTTTGCACCCAGGGCAGACCTCTCTCCTGCGAAAGAGAAAACAATTAGTGGTGGTGAGTGTCGGGGTAGGGGTTTAGCTTGAACAGGTGGGCTCTGTGGGAATGGAGGGGCTTTCAGGGAGAAAGGGAAATGGGGCGTGTCTGCTGCAGCTGTAGCCCCTGGAGCAGTGGGGCCGGCAGACCCAGAACCGGCAGCCTTGGCTCGGGTCTTCACCTCGTGCAGCCACAAGCGCCCGCCTGCAGAATTCCTCCAGGCCTGGGCCCTCTCCAGAGCACTGGGTCCTCCTGTTGGGGTGGGCTTGAATCTCGAGGGGACACCCCACCCCTGGGGGACAGAAGGGAGGGAGAAGCCTGTCCTGGAAGGAGATACTCAGCCCAGGCAGTGGGATTCCTGAGCATAAGAGGGTCCACGTCCCCAAAAGTATCCCCCTACTGCCTCCCCACCCACGCCTACGCTTCCAACTCACAGGGGAGAGAGGAAAGGACCCTCGAGGGGGAACTCTGGTCCCTGGGGGTGGCCCAGGTAACTCCCTGCTGCCAGCAGCCCCCCAGGAGGGTCCTGAATGGAGGCTGCCTGTGAGGAAACCGTAGCCCACTCCAGAAGGAGGCAACAGATGGAGTGCTCTGGGCTTCTGAGGAGAACGCAGGGGCTCTGGACCCGAGGTCCCTGAGCACGGGGCTCCTGGACATGGAGACCCCAAAGATGTTCACACGGCCTGTGCCTGGACCGAGGCCTGGCTGGATGAGGGATCGGGGGAGGGCCAGGTGCATGGGTTGGATCACCCATGTGCCCACAGCGTTCTGGTCAGGGACCTGGCTCCTGGTCCAACCTCTAATCCCCCACAGAGATCCCAGAGGCCCCCCCCACCAGCTGGCTCCCGACTGGCTTCTCAGTTCCCGGGTCCTCCTCACCACACATCTTGCTCCGGTTTTCTGAGTAGGCGGAGGGGTTTGGACTGGGGATCAGCCCCTCTAGGCTGGTCGCCCGGCTCAGGACTCCCAGGGAAAGCCCGGGAGCCCTGGGTTACTATCGGAATTGAACTGAGACACGCTGACAGGCCCGGAGGGTGATGGATGCATGGCAGGGAGCTCAGGGAGGGAACACAGGTTCCCAAAGGAAAAACAAAATCTCAGGGGCCGATTCTGCCGCAGAGTGTGGTGGCCTGAGTGTGGTGGGCCAGGGGATGGCTGTCCCGTTCCTGGGTGTCCTCCAACCCCTCCCCATCCCTCACTGAGAGAGCAATGGAAAAAGAGTCACGATGAGTCACCCAATTCACCCAAGACAATGCCCCACCAAGAACGTGGCAAAGACGGAGGGGCCATGACCGCTGTGGGAGCCCCATAGGCTGTCCCATGACAGCTGAGGCCAAATGAAGATATGAAACCACTAGGCAACCGTCCCCTCCGCCCAGGAAAGGGGAGGGGCTCCCTGCTGCCATGTGGTAGATGGGTCCACAAAGGCCTGCTCTGTACCCCTAATGCCCCGGCCCCTCCTCCTTTCACCTGCAAACCACAGAGCATGGAGCCCTAGCAGCCTCGGAGCCAAGGACTTCCAGGCAAGCAGCTCTCTTCAATCAGATCAAGGACTGGAAGAGGCCACCACAAAACCAGCAACAACCCAGCCACCTGTCCTGACTGCAAAGCTCTGAGCCTGGAACCGATCGACATGGAAATGCACCTGCACCGTTTCTGAGCCGGGAGAGTGTTTGCTTAAAATCATGCCCTCAGTTTTCATTTCTCTGCCAGTTTGTTAGGGAGGTGGAGCCTTCTGTGTGGCATATCTGCCAGCGGGAGGCCCTCGCCACCCATGGCAAGGGCCCTGTCTTTTCTGAAACAGCCGTCCAACCCTCCACAGACTCCTTGGGCCTTGGCACCCTGCTGCCCTCAGGCCTCCACAATCTCGCACCCGTTAGCCCATGGCTGATGATGGTGATGATGTTGATGGATATTTGTGGAGCACTGACTTCATGCCAGGCTCTGTAGTAGCTGGAATCTGTGTAATTTTACTTATCACGTACAATAATGCCAAGATGACGATACGCTTATCACCACTGTACAGACGAGGAGAGCTAGACACAGACGGGTTAAGCAGCTTGCCCAGGGTCACACAGCAGTCAGGACTAAAACCCAGGTCTGGCTGGCTGATTGATCCTTTTTGTTCCTAACCACTCCTCTATGCTGCACCACACATTTGCATATTTAGATATATTTTTGTCATGAATTTGGTGCAAACCCAAAGCCTCTCCAGGCCTCAGACCCTGTTCTGTGAAATGAGTGCAATCATGTCTGTTGTGCCAACTGTATACCCTTGTAAAAGCCAAAGGCATGACCTGTGAGCAGGTGCCATATGAGGGCTGGTTAGCGGTAGGTGACCCAGCAGGTGACGGGGTGGGGAAGCAGGCAGGGGAGTGGCGTCATAGGAGAGAGGGTAACTTGGCTCCAAACTCCAACCTGATTCCCACTCCATCACTCACTAGGATATGACATTGGAGAAGCCACTGCTGTGTGTCTCAGTGTCCTCAGACATACAGCAGTGGTAATCATTCCGCCCCCTCATAGGCAATTAATGCCTGGGGAATGAAATGAGAACCACAGGCCCCACCGGTTCAGTCTAGGTCCTTGGGAGTCACGGGAAAAACCAGGCCTAGCAGTCCTTCCCATGAGTTCCAGAGGCTTCCCCTGAACTCCTCCTCTCCTCCCCAGCACCAAGGCGTAGCAGCACCTCATTAACTGGTGATTTAATGCTTCTCGAATGGGCTTTGTGCTCCTGGGTGACCTCCTCCTCACCCCAGCGCCCTGCTCCCTAATCTGTCAGCAAATCTGCTTTTTGTCTGAAAGAGGAAAAACAAGATTCCCACCAAAGTGCTTGTGGGCAGCTTGTAATTTATCTGAAGTCTGTCCAGGGGTCGATGGACCGAGGGTGAGAGGCCCTCAGAGCCACACATGCTTCACATATTTCTGCCTCCCTCTGTGGTTTGGAAAGCTGGGACTTTCACAGAGCCATCCCCTCATGTCCTCAGCCCTGGGTCCCCCTGCCCTGCCGGCCCCCTGCGCACTGTTTATGAGGTCCAGTCTGACCACAGGAAAAACATTCCCTTTGAATCCCCCCAGCCACCCCATCCCCCGAGCCAAGAAGTTCCTCCCACCAACCAAGGGCTGGTCCAAGAAGTCTCTGGTGGCCCCTTCCTCTTCCTGGGCCTCCCTCCCGTGCCCCAAGGTGGCCAGCGGGCTGCCGCCTTCTTGGCTGGAAGCTTCTTGGCTTGCCTCTTCATGCCACTGGGTGCCTTCAGAGCAGGTCTGTCCTGCCTGTGTTCCCCCCAGGAAGCCACAACAGATCTTCAATCAAAGCCTGTTGGATGAGTTTGAGCCCACCCAGGGACGTCAAAAAAAAAAAAAAAAAAAGACGAACAAACAAAAAGCTTGTCGAATGAAACAGATTTAAAGATTTAGCTCCAGAGTTTCAGTTTGTGAAGATGACAGAGTTCTGGAGACAGACAGATGGTGCTGACGGCTGCACAACTGTGTGTGTGCACTTAATGCCACTCAACCACACACTTCAAATGGTTAGCATGATAAACTGTATGTGTATTTTGCCATAATCAAAAAATATTAACTCCTTGTTGCTCAGGTGCTCAGGACTGTGGGAGGCAATGTGGGAATGAAGGTCCTCCCTGGATCCCAGGGAACCCTGCGGGTCTCCTGTGCGACCATGCCCCACCCCCTACCTGAAGAAGCTGTCACCTGCTTGTTGATGGAGTGGGTCCCATCAGCTTGGCAGGGCTCTTGGCTGTGGCTGCTGGGGAGGCTGAGATGCAGGAGGAGGAGGTCCTTGTCCTTCAGCAGAGCCCCCTGGAGCGTCACTGTGGTTGCCTGGGACTAACCCTGCCTTCCGGACCCCTAGACCTTAGTAGCCCGGGTCTGGGGACAGCAGGAAGGAGTGACTTGGGCAGCCTTCCCTGAGCAGGGAACATT